ATAAATTCAAAACTATTATTGATGTAATTTTTGGCATTTGGGATACTAGAGTAAATAATTTTGTGCAAAAATTCGGCAATTGTGCAAAAATGAGTGCAAAGAACTCCCAATAGATGAAACAATCAAACGGTAGGAAACTCTCGGTTTGTGAATTTTCGGGACCCCATATGCTCTCGGGATGAGTCCATCACTAGACCGAATTGATTTATAAATTGAATCAGTAATGTATTCTTTTTGCAATTCTTGAGTAAAGAATTCAAGTCTACCTCAACATTTTTAATAGGATTTCTTCTAACAATTGAGTATGTGGACTTGTCCCTGAGTATACTATCTATTTCATCGAGATAAGTCTGTTTATCAACAGCAACTGTTACTGTCCTTGTCGGCGTGAGTAAATAAAATCGCAGGATGCTTGTTGCGAAACATCTTGACATGCTTGAAGTTACACAAAATTTGTTTGTCACGAATACTCATTGTGGTAATGGTAAATAGAAAATCAGAAATCTTGGGAATAAACCGCGATCTAATAGAATCAGCTAAATTCTTGTCAAAAAATCTAAGATTATTCTCAACATCCTTGATGACATCCAACACATTACGTTTGTTAAAAATAGAAAGACTAAAATTTTCACCCAGTTGTATAAGAGACTTAACAGTGTTCGAATATTAAAAGAGCTGAGATTGATAAACCATTTGTCCTTAATGTTAAAATTAGAAGAAATATTAGCAGTAAAGTCAAGAGGATCAATAAAACTGTCGTAGATGTCATTGTTAATTAAATTATTAGGATGAGTAGTTACTTTCTTGCGCATCTGCTTGTCAGCGTTTGTAGAGTATGAAATAGGTTCAATCCCTTTGTAATATTTAATATGATTTAAATGAGTGATATATATGATTTTGTCATCACTGTGTTTGTCATTGGTAATGTAAAATTTGTGCAACGTTAAGAATTGAGTATGGAAAAACTCATTAATGATGTTAAAAGATAAATACTTATAAAGCTGTTTTGTTAAGAAGCAAATTTCTTCTTGGTAGGAAGCTATTATTCTGTGAGTATCATCGATTTCTATCTTTAGAACATTACAAAAAAACCTATATATGTTGGCATGCAGTTTAAATTTACAGTTTCGGTGAAAACAATTATACACAAAACACTTTGCAATAAGGGGGAAATGATCCTCCGAATGAGTTCCCACCTTGTAGTAGCTCCGAGGCGGGAGCCCCGTCGGAGTGCTCGGTGTGCACGTGGTCTGGCCGCCTCGCAGTAACTACATGGAACGTAATTGTTCCCAGCATGTGCTGATGGCGGCGCGGCCGGGCATTTATCGTCAGCCCTGAGTAGACGCTGGCGGATCTGCCCGGTCGTGTTGCCACAATAGAAGTGTAAACTGACGAGACAAATATTGACCACATAAGGTGAGCATTTGGCGTCTTCGGGGGCTCTGGGCTCTCGCGCCGGAACGAGTGGTGAAGCTTAAGGTTGCGGACGGTGGTCACTCGCTCAAGGGTGGGCCCGCCCGCGGCCAACTAAGAGAACCCCCCCTCCCCCAAGCTAAGGTGTGAGCAACCGTACCGAAAGCTGCGTGGCGCAAGAAATGTTGCGTCATGAACGGTGCATCCTGGATACCGAGCGAAATCCAGGAGTACGGAGCCAAGCCCCAGCCATACGCGGCTCTGGCTGGGTGAGACCGCAATACTTATGGGACCCAAATGAATGGCAATAATAAAATCATCCCTTCCAAAGCTCCCAAGGGCAAAACTTCCTCCGGAAGCGAACGACCAGGGAGTTCAAACAAGACGAGAACGGGAGTTCAAACGGGCTCTGTGGCCCCATCTCGCAAAAGACCTAGCGGTGCCGCCAGACGCCGTTTAAGAAACGAGAGGCAGGCGAGGGAGAGTGCGGCTGTTTAAACCTCTCACACCCATACTGCTTCTGATCCAAAAATAGGAACTGGAGGTGGGCGGGCTTCGGGGGGCGCGGCGAAATGCGCCAAGCCGGAGCACGCTACCCCTAGTCCCCCAACCAATCGCCAGGACAAGAAACCCAGGAAAGAAAGATCTTATGCCCAGGTGACGACAGGAACTGTCAAGATGGCCCTAGTATTAGAGGGCTACCCGGACAAGAAATTAGGAGCTGATGAAAGGTCGGAGATCAAGAAATTAATCAGGTCTCGCATCCTCGGCATGTCTAGAGATGCCAAAGCCCCTACCTTCATCGGCACTTGGAATATTGATGGGGCACTGGTGATAGTGTGCGCCAGTAGAGTCGGAGGAGTGGCTTAGAAGTCAGTTCCTCTGATTGGAAATTTAGGGGAACTTTTCTGCGTGTGTTGGCGGCCGGTGAGCTACCAACGCGTCATCGGGTAGTGGTACACGTGGAGGAGCTCGATGTAAAGGTTGAGGAAGCCTTGAAGCTCCTAAACCAACAAAACGCGAGACTGGCAATCAATGAATGGGTCGTCGTCGGGAGGAGCCGAAATAGGGACGCCACGGGTGCCGATTTCGCCTGTCTGATTGGCGACTCTTTACTGGAAGCCCTAAAGAACCGCGGTTTCAGACCTTTCTGCGGAACCAGTCGTACTACCGTTAAGGTGATGGCGAGTCGAGAACGCGGAGAGGCCACCGAACGAATGGAGGTGTCGGATGGTGTCAAGACTGTCTAAAATGGCTACTCCCGGCAATCAAATGACACAAATTAACCTGCATCATAGCAAGAACGTCTCGCCAATTTTAGCCAGGAGCATGGCTGTGATGCAAACTAGTATTGCACTAATCCAAGAGCCTTGGATTGTAAATGGTGCACTCAGAGGACTGAGTGGATGCGGTAACCTAACCTAACCTAATCTATACAAGGCACACTCGGAAAAAAGTGTAAGATCCTGCATTTTGGTTAAAGGACTAAATGCTATCTTTCTGCCACAGCTCAGCAGTGAGGATCTCACAGTCATTAGGGTGAAGGTACGACTGGCCGAGGAAGAAGACATGGAAGTATTGAGAGGGCCAGCTTACATGCCCTTCGACTCCAAGGATCCACCACCGCAAGAAGAGGTAAAAACCCTAGTGGCCTATGCGGAGGACAGGGGACTTGACCTCCTGCTGGGTTGCGATGCAAACTCCCACCACGTTGGATGGGGGAGCACCGATATCAATCCGCGAGAAAAGAGTCCCCATGGCTTCCTAATGGGCACAGGACTTACCATCCTACGGGCAGTGCGGGCATTCGCCGAGTCTGTAATGTCCGTCAAAGAGGACGTAGAGAGAGCTCGGCAAGGACAGCCGGTGCAAGGAGATAGGAGCAGGAGAAGGAGAAGACGGCAACCCTCCTCCCCCTCTGAGAGCGAGAGCTAAGGAGTATCTCGTTCCTCTCCCGAGGGTGCCTTCCTGTGCGGGGGACACGTCCGGGAAGGCCGCGGGTAGGGACCGCAGGAAGGAAGGAGTTGGGGCTCCTTTCGGCCATTGCACGCGGTCCCACCGGAAGTGGCGAAGGGATGCGGTGGTCCCATCTCCTCACCGGGCAGTAATAGAAGTCGTGGCAATTAGCCACGTTTGCACGGGAGGGAGAGTCGGGAAGTAATAGCCTATTTGGCTTTCCAGGCTCTCCCTCATAGCGTGCTTGAGGACCATAGAGGAGTTTTAGTGGGTTCGAGTCCCACACTACCCTGGCCCTCCCCAAGGAGTCAGGGCGTGCGCGGGCATTTCCCCCCTAAAAAAAAATGACTTACCATCCTAAATAGAGGAACTGAGCCAATCTTCCAGGACTCAAGAAGACGGGAGGTTATTGATATTACGGTGAGTACGGAAAGAGTGGCGGGTCTGGTAAGAGACTGGAGGGTCTCCAATGAACCTTCGGGATCCGATCACAGACAAATACGTCTAACTCTTCACTACTCGCCGCCGATAAGCTAGACTTGCAACTCCAGAAAAACTAACTGGGACGGCTTTAGGGCTTACCTTAAGGCCCGGCTTGCTGGAGCCCCAACTAGTTACAGGTCTAAAAATAATTTAAAAAACGCGGCGGACTACTTAAAAGAACGCCATTGTAGATGCCTACGAATCAAACTGCTTGTCAAGACCAAGAAAGCCGGTGACCAAGATCTACTGGTGGAATAATGAGCTTGAGAAGCTCAAGTCAGAAACAAGAAAGAGATTTAATAAAGCAAAACGAACTGGCCTTGCGGCTCACTGGAAAGCTTTTAGAAGCTCCCAACGAGAATATAGCAAGGCAATCACGAAAGCGAAGCGCAAAAGCTGGAGACATTTCTGCGAAGGTATTGAGAGCATCCCGGAGGGAGGAGGCATCCAGACTTTGCAGAGTCCTCAGTTTAGATCATCGTCCTCAGTTGGGCTGTCTCAAGCTTCCAACGAGGAACAGTACTGAGGAAACATCGGACACTCTAAAACATCTGATGGATGCCTACTTCCATGGTTTTGACAATAAAAAACAACCTAGTCGGCCAAAACCCAGGGAGTATAAGCCCAAGGAGTGGCATTTAGCGGCAAACTACCCGAGGGGAGTTGAATGGGCTGTCAGGACCTTTAACCCCTATAAATCACCGAGACCGAATGGAATCTACCCGATTCTCTTTCAGAAGGGTCTGGAGGTCCTAATTAGTTCATTTACACTTGAAAGTCTTTAGGGCAAGTGCCCTAAGACATGTTCTTCAGGCTTGGAGTGAAACGAGAGTCGTTTTCATTCCCAAGCCTAGCAGAAATAGCTATATATTAGCTAAAGACTTCAGGCCTATCAATCTCACGTCCTTTGTTCTTAAGACGTTGGAGAGGTTGATTGATAGGTTCCTGAAAAATGGCTCTTTGCTTACATATCCACTGGCTTCCTCTCAATATGCCTACAGAGAGGGCAGATCAACTGATACTGCCCTGCACCATCTTGTGAGCAGAGTTGAGACACAGCTGGGAGTAAAGGGATATATGCTTTGGGCGTATTCCTGGACATCGAGGAAGCTTTTGATAGCACCTCGTATGATGTGATCGGGAAGGCGATGACCAGGCGTGGCATTTCAGCCGCAGACTGGACACAAACCATGCTTACAAAAAGAGTGCTGTCCCTGACTGCTAGTCATAAGGATTCGGTAGTGCATGGCTTCCCCGCCAAAGGTTGCCCACAAGGAGGAGTACTATATCTTTTACTCTAGTGCCTAGTGGTGGATGAACTTCTTGAGAAGTTAAAAGAGGCGAGCTTCCCCGTCTATAGCTACGCTGATGATGTGGCCATAGTGGTAAAGGGCAATTTTCTTGCGACACTCAAAGATATAATGAAAGAAGCACATATGCTTACGCAAAACTGGTGTCAATCAAAAGGACTTAGGGCTAATCCATCAAAGACCAAGGCCATGATTTTCACCAGAAAATATACACTTGAGGCCATTGAACCGTTAAGGTTCTGGCATGAGGAAATAGAATACGTCTAGTTAGTTAAATACCTGGGAGTCTATGTAGACACCAAATTGAGCTGGAGGACACATTTTGAAATAAAGAGATCCAAATTTTACGCCTCTTTTTGGGCGTGTAAAAGAGTAATGGGAAAGTCCTGTGACATTAAATTGAATGTTGCTCTATGGATATACAAATCGGTATTGTTACTGAGACTAATATATGCTGCTGTAGCTTGGTGGCCCAGAGTAGAAAAAACGGAGGCAAGGAACCTGCTAAAAAGCCTACAGAGTAACTACTTAAAGGCTGCGGCAGGAGCCGCAAGAAAACAACACTAACAGAGGCGCTGGAAGTAGCACTCTGTATTTTTCCGTTAAACCAACAAGTAGTTAGCGCCGCCAGACTCACGGCATATAAACTAAAGTGTCAGGGGGAGTGGAGACAATTCGGGATAGGTCATACCAAGCTCGGGTTTCTCCACAAATCTCCCTTTACACTGAAGCAAGACAGAATACCCAGAATATATCAAGTAAACAAGGCGTTTTCTATAAACCTGTCTACTAAGGCTGAATGGAGTAATAAGAACCTACAGATCCAACCGAACATAGATGCGTGGTTTAGCAATGGACCTGGAGCAAACGACCGCTTTGGAGCAAGTATATATAGTCCAGGAAACAATCACAGAGAGTTGTTCTTTCTGGGTAAGTTAGCCACGGTCTTCCAAGCGGAGGTCTTGGCTATCCTGGAATGTGCAAGACTCTTGCTCTCAAAAGAGACGATGAGCAAGAAAATCCATATCTACACAGATAGTAAAGCCGCTATAGGAGCCTTTGCTAGGACCACCACTGAATCGTCAGTGGTTTGGGACTGCATGCAAGCTCTGAACAGACTGAGAGATCATAACAAGATCACACTAGTCTGGGTACTCGGCCATCAAGATATCCGCGGTAATGAGATAGCGGACGGATTGGCAAAGCTGGGCACCTTAGAGGAACCAGCTGGCCAGAAAGTCGGCGTTTTCTTTGCCGTGGAAAAAAATTGCATCAGGGATCAGCTGAAGCAAGAGCATCAGGACTCTTGGAGGAAACTGAAAAGTTGTCGCCAGGCCAGACTTCTGATGAGCCACCCATCGTCAAGCAGGGCTAAAGAACTGCTGAGTATGGATAGAAATAGATTAAAATTAAGTATCGGTCTTCTCACTGGACACTGGGCCTTCAGGGCACATTTGTACAATGTGGAATTTGCCGACAAAACAAACTGCAGGTTATGCGGTGAGGAGAAGGAGGACAACAAGCATATACTGTGTCGCTGTCAATCCTTAGTGCTCAAAAAGTTCAGATCCCTGGGCTGCATGTTTGTGGAGCCCGAGGACCTGAAAAATATTACGATTGGCCACCTGCGAAGCCTGGCAGAAAATGCCGGGCTGAAGCAGATTGGCCGATACAAAACTAGACATATAAGGGATTTTACTAGCCCACCTGCTCACACGTTATTAATATTATTATTATTAAGGAGAGAATGATATCTCGCTGAGACATCTTTCTCAAAAAATACAGACGAGACTTCACACACATTTTGATCAGCTTATAATAACTAGATAAAGAAACCATATTTCGCTTTTTTGGAATCTTACAAGCAGAAATAAACATTATACATTTGCTTTATTTATCCGTTGTTATCTTCCACTTTGCATTTTGAAGATTTTTTTATTTTTAATAATAATAACACAGCCACACAAAAAAAAAAAATTTCTTTGGCCTGGGGATCAGACCATGTTTATTATATGTTTTTGGGGTCGCTGAATCCGAATCCGAGGTCCATTAAACCCTATCGGGTCGGGGTTCCGCCATAAC